AGGGGAGGTCCGGGTGGGGAATGTCACCTTAGTGTCTACTACCCGTGCGTCAGTTGACAGCCTTCCTCCGAAGTTTGGGACCTTGAAGCCTGTTGGAGTATGCCGCCCAATTGGGGCTGGCCGCGGTCGACATGTCCGACCTGGCTGGGGCGTCCCGGGGCCTTCCCGGAACGGGTTGTCCCGTGGTGAAAACGGAGGGGCACCGAAACCGTCGATTTCGGTACTAAAAAACAGCCTTCATTGCGGGAGCAGGCAACCCCTGAGTTCCCCCTTTTTGGGGTGCTTTTTGAAGCCTTTTGGGGCTTTTGCGATCTATCTGGCGCTTTTAGGATTTAGGATTTAGGGTCAACAAGGACAACAATTCACGGACTGCAAACACACAGACCACCTCCACAAGAGATTCTACTTCAGCTCAACACAGCTGTCGTTGCAGGCGTGCTGTCTGTGGACAAAAATGGAGCAGCAATTTCCTAAAATTGGGGGCCCGAAAACAGGGCCCAAAAAAGCTTCCAAAATTGGACCCACTTGTTGGAGGTCTTTTCATTGTTTTACATGCTTGGGTTCCAAATTATAACCCCAAAATGGGCCCAAAATTGGGACCCCAAAAATGGGTTCAAAACTGCTCCTGCAACCACTGCAAATTCCATGGCGCTAAAGCCACCACAAAAGCACACACACATACAGACACACATTTGCAGAACAGAAGAACAAGAATTGCGAATAGAGCAAGGCAAGACTTAGAGCAAGGAGAAAAATCAGCACCAAGACCACCGAAAAAGAGACAGAACCAATGGGACCGATCCATCAACTCCAGAAACTTAGGGAATCCAAAAAAAAATTGAACCAAAAGAGTCTTAAGAACCACTTTAACAACCTGACTTTTGAACCAAGGGGCGTCTTAACACTAAAGAGTGTCTTGCACCATTTTAAGTCCAGATCGAGCTCAAAGGTGTCTCAACACTACTTGGACAGAAAAAACAAAAAAAACCCGGTTGTTTTTTTGTGTGTTTTGCTTTTTCTCCTGTCTGTTCTCTCTCTGCATTTGTTGTTTGTTTTCACGTTTTGGTGTCCATGTTTCTTAGATGTTGCTGGTCGGATCTGTTCCAACAGATTCCGAAGTTGTTGTGCTTGGATTTAGTCCTTTGAGCTGAGTCTGTCCTTTTTTCCATTGTTGTGAGTGGTTCCTCAGCTTCTGTTGATTGGGTCCTCTAGTTTGTCTTTTCGTTTGAGTTAAGGCCTTGGGTCCATTGTTGGTTTTTGCATTTTGGCCTTTCTTTAGTTCAACTTGGTTGGTGATTTGGCATGTTTCTTTGTGGGTCCGTCGGTCCTTGCGGTTGTCGGTTGTCCTGTATCGTGTGTCTCTGTGTCGTGCCTGCAACCATGAATTTCTGGCAACGCACGTCTGGCCCCCCAAAGTGGGTTTTGAACTTGAGATCTGTAAAAATTTTTGCCGGACCAGAGTGAAGAGGCTGCCTCAAGTTGCTTGGATCTTTCTCTCTTCAGTCTTCTGGTCAATCTTGGTTGGTTCCTTTTTCTTGGTCTTCCAAGTGTCCGATCTTGGGTTCTGGAGTTCTTGGATCTGTTAATTGTTAAAAACGGGTGTTGTAAGACCACTTTGATAAACTCCGAACATGGAGTTCCAAGAAATTTCTGCAGATGTTTTTTGAGCCTTGCCAAGAAAGTTGCAATAGTTGGTCTGAAAAAAGAAACCTTAAAATTACTTTTTAAAAAAGTAAGTTGAAAAAAACAGCACAAGCAAAACCTGCAAAAGTGAGACGATCAAAATGTAAAATCATCAAAAACTGTGAAAAATTCACCTGTAGTGTTTGCCCAGTTGGTGCCATGTGGTGTTTGACTGTACAGAGAGAAGCATGAGAGTTTTTCTGCTGCATGACTTGGCATAAGCATGTTTGGTTTGCCCAAAGTCCCTAAAGCATGTTTGGGTTGACTGCGACACATGTCTTGTCTTGTTGGCGTGGCCGAGAATGAGTTTCGAAGCGCTTGGAACTGCATGAGAGCAGTAGTGAAGAAGTGCGTGTTAGAACTCTAAGGTTCTGTCTTGTTGCAACTCACTCCGTGTTCCCACCACTTCGTTCGTTGCCGTTGGACGTGTAGGAGTGCAGAGTGGACTCTGAAGCTTCGCTGTTTTGCTGTTCGGAAGTGACCTGAAGTCCCCAAGGTGTAGACCAAAGCAGTTGCATTGTTCTTTTGCTTTACCTCCTTTGTAGAACAAAGTTGAGATGGAATTCGTAGCTTTTTGGAGCCCTTAGCTCTTGGAGAGAGCTTGCTGCAAGAACTGAAGCTTGCTGAACACTTTGGTGTTTGGCTTAAGTGCGAAGTGAAAAAGAGACTGCTGCGCGAGCTCTGCTTTTCACATGGTAGCGGATTACAGGTACTTACACGTTTTGTCCGTCAGATCAGACCAAGCTAAGCTTCTCCGCTGTCTCTCTTCCATGGATACGCGCGCCATTGCACAGAGATTTACGCAGTGCCCCATTTCCGAACATGGTGGCACCTATCACCCCTTTAGAGGGACCAGATCTGGGGTGGAGAACTGCCATGGAGCGGTGCCAGAGATGAGCCCTTATGGTCTTAAGGTTGGCAAAGACCTGGAGGTGGCAAAAGGGCCCGTCGTCTTTGAGGGCAAGCGCCTGGTTGTGGTGGCTGACGTCACTGACCACTTGGACATACTAAGAGACGTTGAGAAGCAGGGTTTGAAGCGGCAGGGCTTTCAGCTGCCTTCACAGGAAGCTGAGACTTCGGAGACCATCGAGCTAGAGTTTGAAGCGCCCCATGGTTGCTTACCACCAAGAGCTGAACCCTTCTTCAAGTCTGAGCTATGCGAAACCGCGGGCTTCCACTACAAGCAGAGTGGAAGGGCAAGCAGAAGTCACTCAATGACGGATTCGGATTGTGCTCACCTACACCTGGCGACCGGCGGATGGAGGGGCCACTCTTTACCCGTCAAGCGTGGCGCTCTGCCAAGATATGTACCAGATGTGCATGGAACTGCAAGAAAAGTGGTGCCGGCAAGTCGGTGGAAATGACTGGAAACATTGTATGAAGATTCCAAAAAAAACAGCCCTTTCTCTTGAAAGCGGTGGCCAGGACTGGAGTTAGGTTGTCTTGTGTTAAGTATTGTGGCCTTAACGATGACTTAGATTAGGGCAACCGCTGGCTTCAAGTCTGCCGCGATGTGGAAGAATTGTGCCGTCGTAAGCCGCGGCAAGACTATACCAAAGCTGAATCGGTTCTTCGCAATCGGGCTCAAAACGACTTAGGCTTAGGGGCAAATGTTTGAAGTGCAACCTTAAAAGCTGGTGATGCCCTCTTGCGACAAGCCCATAAACATGTTCCAGCCGGCCACCTGGGCCATGGCATTCCCGGATTTTTTCCCCTGGGGAGACGGCGTGCCTTTCGTCAAGCGCGAGACTGGCATGGAGGCAGGCGAGGTCTTTCGGTACTTGCTACTTCGTGAGGAGCTGGCGTATGGAGATAGCACCGACACGCCCCTTCTTCCTCGTTGGAGTCTTTCTGCATCCTGGTCGTATTAAGATTTGGTTAGGTTGAACTTTGTCATTGGTACTTTATTGAATCGCTGGTGGACGCTGTCTTGTGAAAGCTGCTGTATCTGTATAGCGACAGTTGCATGACCGCGAATTCCGTTTTTGCCAGGAACAGCTCTTGCCCGTCATGTACGACACCAACCGCCGACTTTCTCTCACGCGCACATCGAAAGCATACGTCAAACGGAGCGGCTTCAGCCGGCACTGCGCCATGATCGCCTCGGTCAGCACGGAGCAGCTGCTGAAGGCTATGGCGTTGCACGGCGAGAAGGCCGACATACGTGAGTTGTTGCGCTCACCGGATGTGGATGTGTCGCTGAAGCGCGCGCTAGGCGGCGTGCTGCAGGCCAGCGCCAGTGTCCTCGGCACAGAAGGACATCGCAGTCAAACTCGACTTCGAGGCCATGCGGCCGGCTGGCACTACGGCAATGCGCACGTCTTCGTGACGCCGAACCTCGCAGATTCGCGCGCTGCCCTGCTTCTGCAGCTGCACACGCAGGGCGTGGATGGGCAGGTGGAGAACTACGAGGTTTCTTTGGGTTGGGATCTGGAGCGCCTATTCTGCCGTGCGTGACCGTCATGCGTCGGATTCTAGCTGCCGACCCCGTGTCTCAGGCGAGGTTCTTTGACCTCATGATGACCCTATTCTTCGAAGAAGTCTTGGGATGTTTGCCGCCCTTCAAACGAGCCAGCTTTAGGGCGGGTCAGGCCGGGGTCTACGAGGACGGTTTCGCCGCATCGACCTTCCCAGGCTGCTTTGGAGACATCGCTGCTTTCTGCGGCCCTCTGGAGACACAAGGGCGCGGGTCCATGCATCCGCGCATCTTGATCGTTCTCCTGGGCCACGACCTGGCCAGCCGTTTGCGATGCATGATGGCCAGCTCTGCGCGAGGCGAGCTGGTCATCGAGCTGGAGCGGTGGCGCGCAGAAGTCTTGGAAGCTGCATGCCGGATTCGGTACGATAGCCAGCTTGCGCTGGCGGCGCAGCTGTCCGTCGAAGCCTCGCCGCTTCCTCTCGGCGAACGCCAGCAGGAGTCCGCGGGAGAGCAGTACGCTGATGTTCCGGTTGGTTGGCCCTAAGGAGTTGGACGGCCAAAGATTATCGGCGACTGGTGATTCAAAATCACTTCCACAAGTGCACGAAGTCCTGTTTCAGGAAGCTGCACGTCTGCACTTGAGCTGCTGCGCGTAGATGCGCGCACATGCGGCGACTGCGACCCCGACTGGTCCTCCATAACCGAGGGCACGGACAACTTCTGCACTGGGGTACCCATAGGTTTTGGCGAGGCGCTGCCCAGGTTGCCCCAAGTCTTCGAGCCTAAAGCGAAGTGGAGAAAGTTCGACGAGGATCTCCGTCGCTCCGACTACACCAGTGCTTCCTTAAACTCGCAGCAGCTGCTAGAGAAGTTTCGAGAGTAAGTGGAGCTCGGTCGGATGGAAGCTTCGACGCATGGAGCGTTGAAGCAGCGCTTTGGTGAGGAGAATCTACGCATAGCCTCCATGGGTGCAATCCAGAAACCCGATGGATCCGTGAGGCCGGTTCATGACGGAACGCACGGAGTACACGTGAATCAGTCCATACCTCAGCACAACCTTCTTTCAGTTCCGGGTCCTGGAGAGCTAGCCCTACTAGTCAGACAATCCCAGGAGCAAGTTGAGACACCCTTTGCCTTGGCTGGGGACGTGGCCGCCGCCCACCGCTTGGTGCTGGTGCGCGAAAGAGACTGGGGACTCCTGGCCTGCCGTGTGGAAGCTGGGAGCGACACCGTCTTCGTGAACAGAGGCGGAACATTTGGAATCTCATCCGCCTCCTCGCCTTTTCGGCATAATAGGCAGGATGGTGGGGCGCGCCATGCTCAACCACTTCTTCTTTCAATTGGTTTTCGTAGACGACTTACATGCCAATTTCTTTGGACACCGGAAGTATGTCAACGCTCTGATCTGGCTGGTACTTTATCTTAGGGCAGGAACACCTTTTGCCTGGAAAAAGTTTAAAGGCGGAGCCAGGATCGCCTTCATTGGCTATGAGCTGGATTGCACGGCCCGACTGGTGGGGCTCGGCAAAGTGCGAGGAGATTGGTTGGTCCAGTGGATAAAAGTGCCAGGGAGTCCAAATACGTGGTTCAGATTAAGAAGTTCGCCGAGTTCTTAGGTAGATTGGGGTTTGTTTCGAGGGTGGTTTACTGGTTGAAACCGCACCTGGCACCCCTTTATGCCTGGTCATCGGCCACGCATAGATGCTCGGTCGGGAAGCTTCCTGACACGGACCCTTTTTTGTTAAATTTTAACTGCGCGCCACGCCGCGCCCGGCAGCAAGCAAAACGGAAGCAATCTCATCCTGAGGTGAAACATCCCTTTCTCAGAACACGAAGAGGTCGAAGTAGACCCGTTGTGGCTTGACTCGCGCTGTGTTGGAGGGAGCAGAGTGCGGTTCGCAAAATGCGGTCGGTCTGCCAGAAGCAAAATCACGTTCCATGCTAGTCAGGTTGTTCACCTCGTCCAGGTCATTCATATGGTCATTCCCTGCAGTGCCCGTTACTGCCAAGCGTTTTGGTTGTCGCCTCGGTGTGAGGCACGCGACGCCGATACCGCTACTGAACCGCTACTGAACCGCTACTGAAGCTGGTCGGCGGGCTTTCCTGGGCGAGGTGTCGGATGCCACCTCACTCCGGGAAGGGCGATTGCTCGGGTGCGAGGTGTCGGACGCCACCTCCCCGGCAGAGAGTGTGGCGCAGTTGGGCTCTGTCAGTTGCATAAACAGAGAGCACTTCTTACATTGTATGATCATATTGACTGTGCCTCCTTGCTGGTGACCTCCCACTCATGCCCATCATCCCCAGCCAACTTAAGAAGCCACCTTTGTTTCTTGTTCAGGACAGGCGCACTGCTTACCTGCGAGCCTGTGGCACCATCCTTTCGGTTTTTGGCAAAATGTGACTTGTCGGCTTTCTCTGGAACCTGCCTAGCAATGTCAGCAAGATGATGGTTAACCGCATAGGCAAGTCTATCTACCTCCAGGACACACCGGAAACGGAGAGGGTCCTGTGCAGCTGAGGCCCGATTGCCCGCTATTTCATCAGCTTTGTGATTAAGGCTTCTCCTCCATAATTGGGAACGACCAAACTCCTCAACAAAAGAAGCCTCATCTCGATGGGAACGAGCTTCAGTTGCAGCAGTCCGACGCTTTAGCTCGTGTAAATCAAAAGAAATGTTCCAAACCATCAGAAATCAATAAATTTGCTGGCCATTTTGTTTCACAAGTTTTTGTCAACTTGTCAACAATGCTCACTGTTGACATACTGCAACGACATCATTGTAGGTTCTCATTGTGTTTGGCTGGCTCGACAAGGCATGTCAACTTTGGGTGCAGTTGCTTATAGACTTCTTTCGGCGCGGGCATTTTCCATAACCATTCGCCAATGTGGGGTCGCTTGCAGGGTGTTTGTTTCGTCGCCATGCGACGTACGCATTTTGTGCCAGCTGCATCGTGATGACATGAATGTTTTCGGCAAGATCCAGGAGTGGGGGCCCTCATTCGAAAGCAATACTTGCGACGCATGTGAACCCGGGTATACATCCCTTCCACCACCCAACATCACACCAGCAAAATGCTGAGGCAGTACACAGAATTATGGAAGGCGGTCATTAGACCACCGCGGGATCACTACGAGATCAAGGATCCGCTGGCCGTGAATGATTCTTTGGGCAATGGTTTGAGCTTCGGTGAGCTGCGACCGATGTGATTGACGTGATATGTTGTCAGGACTTGGGACCAACCGTTTTCAGTATTGAGCCGGTTGCTTAGAATTGGTGACATCGCATGGGCCCCACAGTGATTGTGCCGAGCAGTTTACACTTGTACGTAGTTGCGATTAGGTTTGCGATTCAGCTGAGGAACAGAACTTTTCAACGGACAGACCTCTCGTTGAAGAATCCTCGGGGTTTGACCATAGTGTTCCAGTCTCAGCTTTTCAGGTGATGCGATGTCGGTCAATCCAGTTAGCAGTTCAGGAAGGCTCCGTCATTTCGGTGGAACGTGTGATTCGTTGATGCCCAGGTGCAGCCATTTCGAACCCATCTCCAGGCGCATTTTTCAGCACTCAGCCCGAAAGAGCTACTGTGCAGAGGAGTTGAAGTGCTGTATTGTCCCGTAGGGAGCGGCCAGCCGGCAAACTTCCCTGCGTGGTTTACCTCCATGGAAATTGCAGCAGTCGGCTCGAGGCTGGCTGGTCAGGAAGCTTTCAGGGTCGGTCCCGCCTTTCTCGGCTTCTGCTCTGAGGCAGTGAGCACGTTGCCAGTGCTTCTTCCTTTCAACATTACCGTGCGGGACCCCAGGTAAATGGGCACTATGGACACAGATTTTTTGTTGCGGTCCGGCTTCGAACAAATATTGCTGAGAGGTCTTCTGCTTCGATTTCGCTGGTTCGGGTCTCTCGGACGGCGAGTGCGCGGTTCAGGACTTTTGAAGCAGGCCTTGACAACGTCTTTTTTGAATTCTTGATTGAAACTCAGTTGCAGGTACCTTAGCCTCGGTTACTACGAGCGAGATGACCTTGCAGTGGTCATTGATCATCTCCGCGAATCGAACCGGGTGACGTGCATAGGACCCCTGGGGTGCCCTTGCAGCCCTGGCGGGCGCTGTTCTCAGATCTCGCTCGCAATTTGCCAGGCCTCTGGGGCAGGTCGATGGGTGCTTCCACCGCCCTGCTTCACGCGGATCGTGGACCTGGCTGTTACTGGTAGCGAAGAGCAGAAGAGCAGAAGAGCATGTTTCAGCGCCACAAACTGTGTGTCAGGGGATCCATCAATTGCGGGCCTCGTGCTGGACAGTCCGTTTTCAGACTTGAAGGCATTGAATGGTGTCATGTCACATACTCGACTGCTGCATACGTGCAGCTAAAGCCTGCAAAGTGTCCTGAGAGAGAAGCGCGAGGTTCTTTGCGAAGAGCTGGTGGACGGCTACACGAACAGCCGTGTGCCCAGGCTCGGACTTCACAGTTTAGTAATGTTGAGAGTCACGCAAGTGAACCTATCGCTCGAAACAGGTGGGTCGTGAGCATCGCACTCCAGATGGTGAAGAACTCAGCTTGCTCTTCCAGAGCTTCATGTCGCGTTTTTCCCTAAGTTTAGGGTTTAGGGTCTAGGGCTTAGGGTTTAGGATTTAGGGTTAGGGGTTTGGGGTTTTCAGATTACAATCGCAAGGTGCGGAGTTCCATCAGTACCAATGCGGACTTCGACATTTACGACCTTGCACCTGTGCAGTGGTACACTTAGGTTCCAGCTCGATGGTTGCACTTCTGTGCACAGCATGTAAGTGAGTGCAGTGAGGCATGTCTCCAAGTCCTTTATCCCTGCGCTCTTCACAGCTGCGTGCTTCCCTAGAGTGGGTTTCCAGTGGCTTGGCCTTCCTTCTTGGCCTTCCTTTTCTTAGAGTCTTAGAGGTACAACGACCACTTCATCAAGCCACACCATGCCCGAGAGCTTCATTCTGCTTATGCCGGGGATAAGGCTCTGGTCACTGTGACGCATGAAGTTATGGAAGCTATGGCTTGCCGCTTCCTTGGATCAGAACTTCATCATGGTGGAGGGAGATCACAACTCAGCGCGGTCCAAGTTCTTCCTGGACTCTGTCTCCATATTCTTCTTCAACACGCTGCAGGTCTGGTTGTATCGGCAGACTGTCCAGCGAAAGCATTGCTGACGCATTGACAGTGCGACGCCTTGGCGACGATGGCACCATCTGAGGCCGCAAGGCCTACAAATCATCTTTTGAAGAAACTGCTGCTGCCGCCTGCAGGCAAATGGCAGTGCGACAGTCCTCGCAGATCCCATATCCAGGCGAGTTGCTACGGCAAGTTACTGTATGTGTAGCAGTGTAGCAATGACCCGACAGCATCCAACAGCTACACTGAGGCATGTACACCATGGCATGTCATGGTGGTGTCAGCAAGGCCCCAGCAGCAGGCGACGCCAGAGCGGTGTGCGGGCGCCGTGCGTGTCTCAAAAAGTGTCACTGTTCGGTGCCATTGGGTGTGTGTGTGTGTGTGTGTGTGTGCCTTCTTCGACTAGCCAAAAGAGGTGTTTGCAAGCTTGAGACTTTCGCAGTTGCCCTCTGAAGGCATCGCAGGCTTTAGGTCTGCAGATGCGCCCGCCTGAAAGGTCGGAGCCTTTGCTGTGCTTGGTCATGGTCAAGCGTGCCATGTTGTCACGATGTCGTCACAATGTTGTCACAATGCTGTCGCAATTTTTGTCTCGCAATTTTGTCTCGCAATTTTGTCGCAATGCTGTCCATGTTCATTTGCACTCGCTTTCCCACGGAGTGTAGGCTGTTCAAGAGCGTCCAAGCAGGGTCGACGACTAGCAAACCTTCAACTCGAGATGCAAAATCTGGAGTGGGGCACAATGCAAGCGAGTAGAACTTCTACAAGGGCCCCCTACAGCTTTTCTCAGATCAGGTGGGGAAGCGTGAAGCCCAAAGCGAACGGAGCTAGAAACTCGAAGGACTCAACCGGGGGATGCGCTCAGGGAGACATGCTCTGAAATGCTATCATATGCTCTCCTTGTCTCCCGGTTTCGACTTTTCTCAGCTCGTTGGCTTGGGGCCGTCAAGGGAGTCCAAAATTCAAGAGCCCCGGAAGATCCCCGAAGTGTGACGTGCGGGGTGCTTCTTCTTGAACACGAGTGGCGGTCTTAGTGGGTCCTAAGTGGGTCTGAGTAGGCTTGGTCTTGTGTTCTTGTAATAACGCGTTAGCGCCAACGCAACGGCAAGACTGTACACCGTACTCAAGCTCAATGCGCAGTGGAACTTCTTTCGCGTCTTCTTCCTGCAGGTGATCGGCGAGGTCTCAGACTGCGCCAGTTGTCGAGCTTCCTCTTACGGTGGGGCATGAGTGTGTGTGTGTGTGTGTGTTCTCTGCAGTGACCCCGGGGCGAATTCAAAACTGCTTGGGAGGCCACCAAGTTGCAGCCGGCCCTTGAGCGAGCCCAGGGTCAAGACTGTCAAGACCGCCACCAGCTCACCAGTTGTGTGCGAGTTCAAGAACCAGCAGCAGTGAGAATGCAGAGCGCCATGACTTGCAGCACAGTCGGTGTGCCTGCAGCAATGCAAAGACCGAGGGCGTTGTTGTTCGTACATGCCGCCTCTCGCATCTTTGATGCCTAGCGCATTGTAGCGAATCATCCGATTTGCGTCTTGCCCCGTGGCCATCTGCAGCACATTGCATCCGATAGCAGGCATATGCAAAAACCTGAAGTATAGACGTTACAGAAGCACTTACTTCTTTAACCAAGCAAGAGGTACTGCGCTGTTTTTGCGCTTGGCCCTTCCTAGTCCTGCCAGTCCTGCCAGTCCTGCCAGTCCTGCTGCCGCTGAACTCTGTTGTGCGGAGTTTCAGGTCCGTGGCTAGAGGAGCAAAGAGCTGTGCATGTCTGTTCTGTGGATTTTTCGTGCGCCGGACTTTGTTTCTGTGCTGAGTGACTCTGCCATTCTCCGAGGCCGTTCGCGCAAGGATGGGCAGGACTGTCCTTGCACAGCTTTGCACAAGATTTTGTTCATTATGTTGGTATGTGAGGAGACAAGACACAAAAAAGCGAGAGGCACCAAAAGCCTCATCAAAGAAGAAAGATGCCGCTCAAGGCGGCCCAGCACCTGCCTGTTGAGTATACTGCCTGTTGCAAAGAGTTCCGCTTTGTCACTCTAGGCAAAACCGAGCGTCTCTCTGCTGATGCCCTCGGCTTCCAGATTAGGATGCCCACTCAGTGATTTGGATGCGCCATGTGTTGGCACCTCCGTGTTGTACAGGACGGGTCCAGATGCACCCAGCAAGACTGGTGCAAGTATGGACATCGAGGTGGGTCTTGTGTCGTGTGTGTATTCTCAGACAAGCCTCCTTGATCGAGTCTCGATTCGAGTGCCTGCTCCTGCACATCCAGGTCAGTGAGATCGTTGTCTTTGCTGGGAAGCAGGCGCCGTCCAGCGTGTTCTTTGCCTAGCCCTCATGAGTTCCTTGAGAGGAGCTGTTGTACAATGCAACGCTGAGATTGGCGCAAGGCCACAAGTGCGCCAGCTGGTGTAGAATTCGCAGCAGTGGATGGTTTCTGCATGTTTCTGCCATTGCAGTGCAGACCTGCTGGTTGCTTCAGAAAGTTAACTAACATTGTACAACATGAGTTAGTTCCCTGACAAGCTCAACCATTGAGCAGGTACGGCCTCATCGGTCGCAACGGTGTTGGCAAAAGCACGCTGCTGCGGGCCATGGCGGAGCGCGACGGTGCGGGGCTTTGCTGCGCTTTGGGGACTTATTGCTTTCGTAGGGCCTTTTGCAGCTTCAGTCCGTTGAGCAAGTCCATCCGTTCACTTCTTTTGTGGGCAGTGTGTTGGTGCTGCCTGAAGGACGTGTTCCCATCCCGCAGCACTTCATGATCATGCATGTCGAGCAGGCATGCACGTGGCACACGCTCTCAACAGTTGTTGGCGGAGAGCCTTTTGCGAACGTGCGCATGGGCATGTCAAAAACGTCTGCAGTGCAGGAAATCAAGGGTGACGACACTCCAGTTTTGCAGAGCGTGCTGCAGGCAGATTGGGACAAGATTTGTTGTGCGAGCTGCTGAGTGCTTAGGGGCAACTCGCCCCAGGTTAGGGAACGCACAGTACGCTTTAAAATGTGCTCGCTCGAGAACCCCGACATCTCCTCAACTGGGCTGTTGTTTGCTTCACCTGAGTGTGTTGAATGGCTTCTCTTCAGAAACCATGTAGTCGAGGCGATCAGGCCTCGTCGTAATCAACAGCCGCCCCAAACGGCGTATCGCTCCCTGAGGCTGACCAGGAGCGCGAGTGGCTGCTCAAGGTTGAGCAGGCATGCCGGATTCTTGCTGGTCTTGCAAGCGAACCGTGCTGCTGAGACATAGATGGTCCCGGTCTCCATTGTTCTGCGATTCCTCTCAACATGTGAAATCTGCTTGTCTTTGTCATCACTTCGCCTTGGTATAGTTTTGGTTTTGGTTCTTGTTGTTTAAATCCCTGTCGGAATATATTAAGCGGCTTTTCCGAGAAGAGTACATCAGTTACTCCAGTACATGACTGCGCAAATCGGAATTGTGTGCGCAGCATCACTGCGGTTGGTTCTGTCGCGACGACAACTACGGTGCGGGCCTTCAAGTACACGGGGAAGCATGGGGTTCAACCTGGCATACTGAAGAATTTGGCGGGGCTGGGGCCATGCATACTAGGCACAGCTAGACACGCATGCTTCTGAGTCTTTTGGTTTCTTGCGGAGCACCACTCCTGTATTGTTAGATTTGAATGACTTGCCAACAGGCAAGATAACAATCCATTTCGCATTTTTGATTTCCGCAATGGAGCATTCGAAGGCATCAAGCGGCCTCGAACAAACTTCACTTGTGTAAAAAAGCGAATAGGTTGAAAACTGGTGTCAAAACCAGAAAGAATGAATAGAGATAAACAGTGTCGTAAGATGCCTAGCAGAACAAAAGCTTTAAGAAGTCTCAAGGGTTTAATCCAGCGGCGGAAGCATTTCCAGGCAAAGCGGCTCACGGGCATATGGAGACTGTCGGAATGAAACTAGCAGAGGTCGGAATTTGGGACCCACTTGACCCCGGACCCACCCCGTGGGGTTGCTCCATTTTTTCCTTTCCCTCCAATCCTCTTCTTGGGCCCTAGACTGTCTTTATGTCAGCCTGCCGATGTCGGCTCCTCCAGGCCATGGGGGACAGTTTGCATCAATCCGCCTGAGGAACTGCTCTCAAAAGAGGACGATGGGACTGGCCAAGAGCCCAAGGCCAGGGGCACGCGCGAAGTGTGGTGCTATCTAATCCCGACAATTGTCTCTTGTAGTTGTCTAGGTCGTTCTGCATAGGTCCTTAGTTATCCTCTCCCTGGCAGACGTAGAGCGCAGGTGGGTGGAGTTGGACTGATGGAGGCCTGGCGCAGCCAGTTTTGGCTTGGAAACCATCTCATTGTAACTGTTGCGACGTTGGACTTCGGGTTGAAAAATGTAGAGCTCGAAAGTGCATGTCATTGCATGTCGGTGCAGGTGTATGAAAGGCTGGAAGAGCTGGGCAATGATGACGCGGAGGCACAGAATTGGCGTCCAGTTACAAGGCTAACCCGGATCTAAGTCTGTCGGGAAATTCTGTGCTGAGGGAGTGCCTGAGCACGCATCGGAAAGCAAAGGGCATGTAGGGTGTAGTGTCCACGGTTTGCAGAGGGATGGTTTGCGGGGGGGTCCTGTTGTAAAGGAGCCTTTTTGGCTCATGTCTCCGGAGACTTTCAGCGTTTCGAGGCCCGGGCAGCGGTGATCCTGGCCGGCCTGGGCTTCGCGGGTGAGGCCCTGGGATCTGGTGGGCGCTCGGAGTAATTCTACTCTTTTGAGTTTTTGGCTCCTCCAGGCGGTTTGGGCAGGTCCCGCAGGGTGGCGGGGGGGGTGTACAGAAAGTTTTTGGTTGGGGGAGGGTTGCTGGAAGCCGAGGCGAACTTTTAGTTCTGTATGCATCGATGATATATTCAGAAGATGTTCGGAAGATCCAGGACCAGCAGCGGCCGACCAAAGAGTTCAGCGGAGGCTGGCGCATGCGAATTGCATTGGCGCAATCGCTTTTTGCCGAGGCCTTAGACGCCTCAGAGTGAGTTTGTTGCTCGAGAAGCTTCTTCGCGTTGAAAAACTCGCCCCGAGGTCCAGCCGGACCTCCTCCTTCTCGATGAGCCCACGAACCACCTGGATGTCCACGCAGTGACCTGGCTCGAGGCCAAAAAGGGGAAGCGGCGAATGGTGAACAGCAAGAAATTTTGCCGCTTGAGTTGCGGTTGCACGTGTTTGCATATGCTTGCTTATGTTTGCATTGTTTACCACTGTCGTTGTCCTGAAGGAGTTCCTGAAGACATGGGAGAAGACCGTCATGGTCGTTTCTCATGACAGGCATTCTTTCTCAGAAACATGCCCCACTGTCCATTATTCACTGTTCACGGTTGTTCAATGGGTCCATACAGGTCTATCTATGTCACTTCATATATATCATAAAGTAGTGCCGGGCTGCCTGTCAGGTGCTTCCTGAACAACACGACTTCCAATACGATCTTTTTGCATCGAAAAAGGCCAGGCTTGACCAAAATTTGCTACCATTCGAGCGTGTTGTATTCATGCTGAGAGGCTGTGGTACTATGGCGGAAATTACGAGACATTCCTCCGAGTCCGAGCAGAGCAACGGACGAATCAGGAGGCCCGAGTTCCGACAGCAGCTCGTCGGCGTCGCAACTCCGATCTTTTCCGGTCTCGAGGCCATTGCTCAGCAGCAACAGAGAAAAGTCTGACGCTCGGACTTGGGCATTTGAAAAGCTCCCAGAGCAGCATTTTATGGCTTCGAGGTGTCGCACCTCAAGCAGTTCATCCAGCGCTTCGGGCAAGGCCACAAAAAGATGGCCAAGCAGGCTTCGAACGAACTGCATGTATACCATTGTATACCTGAGTTGCCTGACTTGACAGCGCAGGCTTGGCCTGTGATGTTTGAAGTGTTCGGGTTCAAGAGCGTCACCGTAAGATCGGCTGATTTGCGGTTTGCCTCCATTGGTGAACCCATGTGAACATGTTGAAGCCGTTCCTCTCACAGCATCTCTTTCTTCCTGGGCGCAAGGCAGCAGGCCACAACTCCTTGACTATTTGACCCATGTCATGCCATCGCAGTCAATTTCCTTTCGTTGCGTCTCCTCTCCTGCAGGCTCCATGAGCCGGGCACCTCGCCTGATGCGCCTCCGGCCTGTCATGGCTGTGACCTCCGTGGCTGCTCCACTGCTGGTTCATCGGTTCGAAAGGCTGGGGAAGACATGCAAGGAGAACAAAGAGGCAGAAAGATGCAGAAAGATGCACCAACGACACACAACGACCAGCTTGCCTGGGCGTACCTGGAGGTCTTTCGCCGCGCCTCCCCGATGTGACACTGGCCGTGGTGAGCAATCCCTGGACCAGTTCCTCAAAAGCAGCAAGGCGTCAGCGTGTCTTCAGTGGAGCATGTCACGAGATGCGCCATAATCTGCCTGTTTGTAAGAGGTGTGAGTTTGTCTTGGCTTCTCGAGACAGCAGGCGCAGCAGTGGATTGAACTCAACAGCGACAAATCGCAGAGCTGTGAGAGCCTCTGAGGGGCACCACAGCGTTGCCACCCTCGGCTGCTTTATTCCTGATCTTCAGAGACATCTCGAAGAGTGTGTGTGTATTTCGGGCTCTGCCAGACATTCAGGTTTGGTGAATACCGATTCCTTGGAATGGGTTGAAACTGCAGCCGGAGGAGTTCGACGGAAGATGATTGAAAGGCCTCGCGAGCGCAGGCATTGCATTGTTGCATATTGTTGGAAGTGTGTTTGCATGTTCTTGAGGATTGGCGGAGAAGTGGCCAGAGCCACGACTGTTGTCAATTTCCGACCCAATGCTGCCTTCCCTGCACACGTGCACAGGGGAGGAGAGGACACAAGGGTAATGGATAAACACTGCTGGCGTAGCTTAATACTTAAGACTGCAGGCCCCCACCTTCCTGGAGCATCGTGGCAGAATTCACCATTCATTGTCAGGAGTTCCTGGTGTTGCAGGGCGATTGGCACGATGACTGGGCCACTCAGCCTGCCTACACCTACGTCCGCAATTACATCGGTTCCAAGCACACTCCCCGAATTGGGCCGAAGGGCTGCACTATCTTGGTCAAGCTGTGCCAGCACCTCGGCTGAATTGTAGACTACAGCGAGTAACTATCCTAGTCGAAGACCTGTATTGCAGGATGTCCGAGCAGCACAAAGAGCCGGACCATTCTCAGTGGGACATTTCCGAGCACAATGTAAACTGGAGGCAGAGGGGTTCGCGAGAGAGGGGTTCGGAGAATGGAAGAAAGAGAGCTTTTAGGCCCCAAACCCCAAAAAAGGAGGTTCAGGTTTGGGTCAGAACTTGGAGTTGAGGAGTTGCCATCCGGAGAGCCAAGAGCAGGCTCTCCAAAAGGAGGTCAGAGACGAAAGAGGGTGTGAAGTTTACGCACTGAAATACGGACAAACGTAGACGAAAAAGGTTCATTGAATACCACATCCTTGTCAGGGCGTGTCCCTCGATCGCTGGGCGACGGTTGCTGGATGTTTATGCCTCTCCCTTTGAAGAGGCAGGGGTACGGCTTTTGGAATTCCGCGATATCAGGCAAGGGCAGTTCTCTGATTGATGTTAAGGTCCACTTTGAACGGTGGCAGCCCAATGAATCAGGCCTGCTGACAATCTAGATGTCACTGGCTGCGAGCGGTTGATCTCTAGTATTCTCTCTTGTGCCGTGTTGCATGCCATGTGCTGGCATGATGACGCTTTCTTCAGCGTTTCTGCTTTGCAGCCTTCGTCGCACAGTCCCAAAGCCTTCTTGCCATGGCGAGCCACTCACAAGGCCTTCGCATCTGTTGCCTTCTAGCGTTGGCTGCTTGGGGCATGGCCACTGAATGTGAAGCTGGGGCAGATGACAGCGCAGTCCTCGTCCAGCTCAAAGAAGCCACTGGTGCAGGGGGCAGTACTTCTGCAAAGAAAGCAGCGAAGAAGGTGGTTTTCATTCAAGATGCATGCCTTGATGACTTCCTGGCAATCGCTGCCTTGGCCCGGGCTCACAAGGATGGGGACATTGAGTGGCTTGGTGACATTGTTGTCAATGCAGATTCTGTCTTACCGCAGAGCATGGACATCACCTACCAGTTCCACCAAGCCTTAAAGGTCAGCGACGTTCCAGTTTCGATTTCCAAGTCGTCACGCCTTTTCAATGCATTCCCATGGACATACAGAAATGACACGTGGAGCATGGCACAGTTGGATTCCATCAAGACCCTTGCAGACCAAATTGACCTCGAGTGGACAACATATGAACAATATCCAGACGGAGATGAGTTTCTCAAGACTCTCTTGATGGAAGCAGAAGACGATTCCATCACAATTCTGACTGTTGCAACGCAGACAATCCTGGAGCCTATCTTCAAAGAGACTCCTGCGTTGCAGAAGAAGGTTAAAGAAATGGTGTGGATGGCAGGAGCAATCAATGTGCCTGGCAACACGGATAACAGCATGTACGGCCACGGGTATTCTGGCATGAATCACTACGCTGAGTGGAATGTCTACGGAGACGCATTTGCTGCTCAATATGTCCTTTCCACAGCACCATATCCTGTCAAAATGGTTCCTTTGGATGTCTGTGACAAGATACCAGTGTGCAGAACCGATTGTGCTGCATACCCCGATCCCACATGTACTGATGACATGCTAAGCTGCAACTTCATCCAGATCATGAACCGCTCGATGCCAGGCTTGCCAGAAGTATGCCCAACACCACTGGTCTACCAAGCACTCGTGGAGGCATACACGAAGTTTGCAGCTCCAGCGCCGTTTTACCGACTTTGGGACTCGGCGGCAACAGCCTACGTGCTGAAGCCAGAGTTGTTCCTGGACGAAGGTCTTACTCCACTTGCAACCATCACGGACTGGGGCTACGAGGGCTGGCTTGCCCAACCTGGACAGGCTGAGGCGAAGGGCTTGACCCCACCTCCGTACAAGAACGTCACTGCTTTCTTCAACCTCACAGCCCCGCTGCAAGAGACACGCAATCAGCTCTATGAGTTCTTAGCAACGGCGGCATGTGGCAGCCCGTATGAATTTCTCAAGTAGGGCTGTAGGGCTACCAAGGTCCAGAAGGCCCACAGAGCGCTCATTGGCAATGCTGCCGCGCCTAGGAGCAGCATTGGAAAGGAGCAGTAAGTATTGGATACGAGCTCTAGTAGTATCAGAAGTGAGTAGTACAAGAAGTTAGCAGTATGGAATGAGCAGCTCTGTGCCCACCCTTCGACAGCTTAGATTAACATATCTCGGCTGAGAAGTCCTTGAGTGTGTGCCCACTTCGACAGCTTAGATTAACATATCTCTGCTGAGAAGTCCCTGAGGGATCTTATATTGGTTATATCTCGGCTCTCGTATAGCTTTGGAGCCGAGAAGAGCAGCAGACTTGACTTGGGAATTCGTGTGCAAGTCTGGAGCAAAGACACCTTGATGGCTTTGCAGCTGTATGATAGCGCAACTTTGCTTGTTTTGTTCACAACTTTTCTTGTTCTGGTTTGGGCGACTTGTTCTGGCTTCAGTGTTGATTGTCATGTGCACTGCCCGTGCACATCCGCTGGCACCGTCCATGCCGTCACAAGGCCTTCGCATCTGTTGCCTTTTAGCATTGGCTGGGGAGGTGACGTCGAGGTGCCGGAAACGGGAGAAGAGGTCTTCGTGATCGATGGCTCCTTCGCCGACGCCCTGGGAGAGCACCGAGCCTGGTCCTGGAGCCGTGGCTTGGCTCGCAGAGCAGCTTGCAGAACGATGCTCACAGGCCCACTTCGTCTACGCACCATCTCTCTTCCCTTTCACATCTCTTGCATCACACCTCTTCCACACAAGTTCATACATCATCATGTGCGGCATGTTTTTGTGTGGACCTGGACACACCTCCAATCACCTGGGCTGCGAGGAAATGCTGGAGACAGGCCGCGGATCAAGCGAACAGCCGGCCCACAGGACCTTGAATGCTAGGCTATCCATGCCATCATACGCTTGCCAGAGCTTCAGTAAAATTCTGATGTGGGTGTACCAGGGCTGCCTGCTCTACGTGAAGTCGCGGCACCTAAGATCACCCGAGGCAGACTTCTGCATATGTCCAGTTTGCTATCCAGAGATTCGTAGCCTAGATCGGCAAATGTCAGGTCGACATTTGCGCAATGCAGACTTGAACGTCATCCTGAGATGTGACGAGCGCGAGCTGCGAGCGTCACCATGCTTCTGCCCTGATTAAATGATCTTCGGAGGGCTATGCGTCGATAGTGCCTGACGGCTAAGCTGCCAGAGAACAAGCTCCCTGCCATGATAAAGCAGTTTATTCCTCTGCGCAACGAGAAGCATGCCAAGTCCCAATCAAAGGGGCTGCTTCTCATGTACCGCAGAAAGGTTCGCTTGCAGAGCACGTGCCGTGTTACAACGGCATGTGAGGTTTTCGATTCTTGCCGAAAAGTCCGCAGCAGCATGGCGGTGAGTGAACAAGTAGGCTCATCCGCTATTGTCTGAACACATGTGAGGCCCAAAGCCGCATGAAGATGCTGACCAAGCTGCAGGAAGAAGCAGTTGCAGTAGGTGGGAGTAGGTGGGATGTGTGGGTGGCCGCTTCATTTTTTTGGCTAGATTGCCCCTTGTCTGCAGACTTTGATGATCCGTACCTACAGCTGGACTTTCCGGCTGCCTCCTCCCTGCCGCCTCCTTGCCTGGCGCTGAGAGACCAGCGAGCAATTCTACACCCGAAAGCGCACCGCAGACTGCTCAATGTTCATGACAATGTTAGGCATCTCGGTCATCGAAGCAGCATTCGGCTACACGCCAGACCGAATACTTTACGAGGCCTGCGGTCAAGGTGAACGTGGGCCCTGTCGATTTCTGCAGAAATCGTGAGGATCTCGACTTCGGGGTCGACTGCGACTCTCGTGTCGCAATTGTGGGACCGAATGGTGCAGGCGAAGTGCGGTGCAGTCTCGGCACGAGTCACTGGCCAGTTGTGTGAGCCTGTGTAATCAGTGTAGTGATGTGTAGCGTACACTATAGTGGACACACCGGAGATTTGGGGTGGGGAGGTAAGTCCACCTTCCTGAAGTTGCTGGATGGTTCGCTGGAGCCAACCCAGGGCTTCGTCAGGAGCCGAAGAGTCCGAAGAGTCCGGAGAGTGGGTTCAGCGTGTTGGTGAAAGCCGTTGGTGTGAACCGTTGAGCTGATTTGTTTCTTTTTTTGTTGCCGAGCTGTTCAGGAGACACGCGAAGCTCCAGTTGGCAAGGCGCCCTTCTGCGAGGCGTTGGCGTCAATTGCCGGAAGAGCGGCGCTGAAGCAGGTTCACACAGCATCATATCGAGATGATGGATCCGGCGGGTCTCTGAGACTCTCCAAGCGTCTGAGCTCAGTTCTGGGCAGAGTTTGGAGATGCCTGGAGAGGATTCCGATGCAGTGACTCACATGCGCAAGCTTGGAGCTGGCGGCATCAAGGAGGACCATCCGCCTGGACTCTACTCTGTGCACGGATGGATGTCTTGTCGAAGTCAAGACAGCCCCCAGACATGCTCAGAAGCGTTCTCATGATGGGAGTTCGGGGAGAAGTTGACATGCTTCCCTCGAGCTCATTCGAACTCTGTCAAGCTAACAAGTGAACCTAAGCATTCAAAAAGCTTGAACACATGCCTGGCCTGATGATCAAGTTGGCCACTGGCCCCGCAGGCACACTGTGCCATCTGCGACGAACCGACACGCAACATTGCAAGAAGAAGAAGAAGGAGAAGAAGAAGAACCAGAAGCAACCAACGGTGAGGGCAGGCAGGAAGGCATGTCACTGGCACCTGCCCCCAGAAAAACATACTCGTGATAGCTTCTCAGCATAACTCTTTCTCGGAGAGAGTTCCGTGCCAGGGGTGAAACAGAGGATCGCATCTGAAACACCCCCTCTCACAACCACATCCTCAACCTCCACCAATCGCAGGCAGCATTCCGTCATCCCGCTTTCCGGCTCGTCGCAAACAATCCTGCCTCCAAGCGGTGGGCCACTTTTCATCTTGCAAGCAAGACAAGCATTCCAGAAACTCTGAAGAGCTCAGACGAGACCACTCGGTGCCTTGTGCGCATTGCATTCCACTTGTACGTCTCTCCAAAGGGATGGCCGTTTGCCAGGATGGGACCAGCGAGGTCACCATCGAGGAGGCCACCTCTCGCAGGGCCCGGTCCAACTGAGTAGGGGATCCCACAGTGTCGCGGGAGGCGCGGAAGTATCTGGGCCGTTTTGGCCTGCATGGAGACCTTGCACTCCAACCGGTGAAGTCCTGCACTCGAAGATGTTTCGCAGCGCTTTGTCCGCCATTTTGTGCAATTGCTACCATATGAGAGAGGTTCCTCAGCGGCGGCCAAAAGAGCCGTTTGGCGTTCGCGGAGCTCGCCTGGTACGAAGCTTGGGATGCCTAGAAACTAGGGACCACGACAATGAATTGGTTACTTCTTCTAACAGGTCGTCTCCTCACATCATGCTCCTGGATGAGCCCACGCCACCTTCTTATCACACTTTTGTCCGTGCCGCGTTCTGTTTTGGATGTTTGATTATGTCTTGCCGAGGAACCACCTGGACCTCGAAACAATCGAGGGCCTGGCCATGGCACTCAACAAGTTCGAGGCCTTTGCATGTCGGACTTTTGTGGTTCCGTGTGCGTTCCTTGTGCCACTCCACCCACTTCGAGATCTTGGTCGGTTTGCCGTAGCGTTTGCAAGTTTTAGACTTGTCCGGGAAACTATCCACGTAAATACTGCCTCTTGGAAAGCGGTAAATCAGCAAAGGGTTAAGCTTTTACGAGGTTTTTGCTTTTTCGTTTTGAGCCTATCAAGCTTGAGTTGGGTGCAAGGTTTGCATCGTTTGCAGTGCTCTCGCTTAGTACGATTGCCGAGAGAGAAGCAACAAAGAGGCGCTAAACCTATGGGTTTGTGCACGACGTCTAAGTGGCCCATTTACCTCCGGCAGAGGTCAAACGTCAAACGCCGGCTCGTAGGCAGTGGGAAGGGGAGATGATCACATGATCTCCTTGCGGCAGGGCGGCGTGGTTCTCGTCAGCCACGACGATCGATTAGTGCGGAACTCGCTTGGACATGGTCATTTGCAATTAAAGCCCTCATACCCTGTGCTGTTGCAGCGACAAAATACCACACATGCACAACGCCTATCAAAGCTTCTGTCTTGCTGTTTGCGCGGTGTCGGTTTGACATGGGTTGCCCACATCTTTGGGCAGCGC